GTGCCAAAGACAATGTTTTGACAAACAAAAAGCTGCTGGTTGAAATAAGAAAAACAAAAAGCTGTTGGCTGATAAATAGCTGAGATGTTGTCTCTCCAAGCATCTGAATAGAAATGAATAAACCCTGCCTACTTCTCCCTTTTAATAGTGTCTGGTGAAAAATACCAATGAATTTCTTAATTTTCCAATTTTATTTTGTGCTCTTTTTAGGGTTAGGGTTAAAGGGAAAGGAAACTTAACTTCATATGGAAAGGAAACTTAACTTCAAAGGAAACTTAACTTCAAATTTAAACTTTTCTTAAAACAAAATGCTGATTGTTTTAATAAAAATTAAAATAAAATGTATTTCCAACTGTTTTTAAATGGTTTTAAATATTTTTAAATGTTTTTTAAGTTTTAATCTAGTTTTTAAATGTTTTTAGATTTTTTTGTTATTTTTTAAACTTTTTTTCTCTAAATAAACTATGTACAATCAAATATGTGTGCCCACGACAACGTTTCGACCCCTTGTGGGTCTTCTTCAGGTCTGGCACACCTCACTCAACAAAAAAACTCTCTCTTGAATGAAAAACAAAAGATGCTGGCTGGTAATTCTAAAGATGTTCTCTCTTCAAGCTTCTGAGTGGAAATGAAAGCCCTACCAACTTTTCTCCCTTTTTATACCCTCAGACAATAATTAGAGTGAATTTACTTATATTTAAGTTATTTTCTGCTCTATTTAGTTTTTGAAATGTTAACCCTTTCTGCACCGTTTGTGCTTTTAATCCATATTAATTATGTTTATTCACATATTTGTGCTTTAATAAACATATTAATAGGTATTTTTTAATCCCAAGATTAGGGTTACGGTCCTGCTTGACCTTTGACCTCTGTGGCCTGCTTGGCCGTTGGTCATTAAGTTGCCTCTAATGGTTAGGGTTAGGGTTAGGGGTTAGGGTTAGGGTTAAGGTTAGGAGGCTCCCACTTCTCCTATGTGTCCTGAAGAGCAAACATCTCACAGACATACTCAGACAAGTCCGGACATGTTTCTTTTTGTGCCCATAGCCTGAAGAAGACCCACAGCGGTCGAAACGTTGCAACTGGGCACTCTTTATCACACCTTTTCTTTATTTCTTCCTCCTCATAGGCATTTTATTTGGTTTTCTTTCTTTTATTTCATTTTGATTTCAGAAAACAACAAAAAAAGCATAAAAAAATTAAAGAACAATTCATTTTTTATATACAGTTTTTGTTTTAAATATTTTTTCATTTCATTAGATTAATAAATAGATAGATAAATACACAAATAAATAAATACATAGTTTAATAAATACAGTACATTAATAAATAGTAATAAATAATTAAAAAGATTAAAAACAATCATGAATTATGAGCAACAAGACTGGACTGAAGTGCGGTACGGGAAAAGGCGTGGTCGACGCCCGTACCGCACTAATAATCAGCAATACCAAACGGGGTCGTGGGGGACGGGGAACAGGGGGATGGACCGTGCACCTCCTGTCTCCTATCCTGGTTGAAGTCCGTAACCTTTATGAGACAGATATCATTGTGTGAGGACAGCAGGATGTTCTCTGGCTTCAGGTCTCGGTGGATTATTCCATTGGTGTGGAGGTACTGGACGGCTCTCAGCATCTGGTAAAAGTAAAGTTTGGCGATTGACTCCTTCAGCTGCCCCTGGGACTTCACTTTTTGGAAAAGTTCTCCTCCTTCCATGAGCTCCAAGACAATGTAGTAGCTGTCCTCTGTCTGATAGAAGTCTTCTGTCTTTGTGAGGCAAGGATGGTTCACTCGCTGCAGAATTTCAATCTCTGTCTCCGCATTTCGCGTTGCTGTCCCTTCAGACTGAAAATTCTTCTTGTTTATTATTTTCACTGCAAATTTTTTGCAGGTGGATCTCTCGAAGGCTAGTTTTACTTCACCACACACCCCTGTGCCAACCTGCCGAGTCAGTACGTATTTTCTTTGCAACTCCTGCGGGAGAGCTGACTGACTGTCAGACATCAGATCGATGAAGACAAAGACTTTGTTGCTTTGCTCAGACAGAGCGAGCACAGCGTTGTTGACGAGAGGGTTAGGTTTGGGAAAGAATCCCGTCTCCCCTAGAATGACCCTACTTGGGTCTGCGGGGAGCGGGGAATGCACGGGCCTTCGCCCACTGGACACGCTCCCCCGGTCCCCCAGGAAACACGACTTGTGCTTAATAAATGTTGTTGTTGACTTGGTTTTAATGTGTTGTGTTATTGTTTTTAAATATTTTCCAATTTTTTAGGATTTTTGTTTTTGTTTTTAAATATTTTCCATTTTTTTTAGGATTTTTTTGTTTTTATACACAACACACAAACAAACAAACAAACAAACAAACAATACATGATCACACATGAACTATGTACATACATTGTGCGCGTCGACGACGTTTCGACCCTACTTGGGTCTTCATCAGGTCATGCGCACAAAAAAAAAAAAATGGCTGCTGGGCCCCAATTCATAGGGGTTACCCCAG